GATGATAGAAATTCATTATCACACCACCATAATTAGGTAATCTTACACGTGATGATAGAAGCTCATTATCACAACACCATAATTAGGTAATCTTACACGTGATGATAGAAGCTCATTATCAAACCACCATAGTTAGGTAATCTTACACGTGATGATAGAAGCTCATTATCACACCACCATAATTAGGTAATCTTACACATGATGATAGAAATTCATTATCAAACCACCATAGTTAGGTAAACTTACACATGATGATAGAAATTCATTATCACACCACCATAGTTAGGTAATCTTAGAAATGATGGAAGGTTTAAAAATACCGTTATATTAAGTACATTTTGACAATAACAGAATTTTATAAATACTACAAAACCCTTTCATGCACTACCGTTACGGACAACTGAAATTGTCTGTATTTTCAATCATTAAGTAATAAGTTATTCATAATTATTAATTAGCGTTAGAGTACTAAAAATCGGGTTTCTATACCAATCCATTTTGTTTATATATATAAACTAAGTGTTTTATACAGCTTATTGTTTTTTTATGTACCTCACCGAAACTCCGGTGAGAAATATATATATATATCTGTCAAGTAAATATAATATTTAAAGCTGTAATCGGTCTACCAATATTCATTAAACATATTCAATCCACATAGTTTACGACATTTGAATAATAATAAACATAACTCACAACGAGAAGATAAATGTCAGCCGTGATGAAATGTTTGGTGGCTGTTTATTATACAACATTTTAGCCATCAACTGGGATTTATCTAAATCTTTAGGGTGACGCATAATGTTGTAGAAAAAAAAACTAGTTTGAAAGTTTACCCAAATTTGAAATATGCTTTATCTATCCGACATTCCTAACCACTTTAATATGACATTTCTTTGGACAATCGATTAAGGATATGAAAGTTTGTGATACAGTTTTTTTTTCTTTCGAGCTTCTGTTGCGGCCCGAGTTGATCCACACGTAAAAGATTTGGCGCTATCAGCAGAAACTTTTACTTATATCTTAAAGTGACCAACTTCCGATTTTATTGTCCATAAGGTTCCTGTACAGACGTCACATTCTTCCGGTCAAACGAATACAAGCGACTAAACAAAAGTTGTATACAGTTCTTCAATTTAGCGATATCGACCCTAGTCCCTAAACTGCGTCTTTTCAGGGGACTAGGGTCGAATGTTGAAAAGACGCAGTTTAGGGACTAGGGTCGAATGCTTGAAAAGACGCAGTTTAGGGACTAGGGTCGAATGTTGAAAAGACGCAGTTTAGGGACTAGGGTCGAATGTTGAAAAGACGCAGTTTAGGAACTAGGGTCGAATGTTGAAAAGACGCAGTTTAGGGACTAGGGTCGAATGTTGAAAAGACACAGTTTTGTTTAGGGACTAGGGTCGAATGTGCGTCTTTTCAACATTCGACCCTAGTCCCTAAACTGCGTCTTTTCAACATTCGACCCTAGTCACTAAACTGCGTCTTTTCAACATTCGACCCTAGTCACTAAACTGCGTCTTTTCAACATATCTGTTGGAACGACCAACATATACTTTTGAAATTTATTGGAATGGAATTTAACGATTCGGGTTCGAAGGTGACGCTCGTGTTTATGTATAAAATTAAAAGAAAAAATGTCACAAAAATCTCGTGAAATAGAATTTACATGATTAAGTATGTTTAAGTCTTGTCTAGGCCGTATTTAAGGAAAGTAAAACCAAAATAAGTAAAAATGTAACAAAGAAAAATTTGTTATACTAACTATGTCCTGTTAGTTTAGATGAAACAGTTAATACAAGTAGGATTATTTGTTTGTTTTTTGCACACTATACACGTGTGGTTTGGTATGGTCAGGTAGTTAGGGCTCTCGACTCGCAATCTGAGGGTCGCGTGTTAGAATCTCCGTCCCACCAAACATGCTCGCCCTCTCAGCCGTGGGGGCGTTATAAAGTGTCGGTCAATCCCACTATTCGTTGGTAAAAGAGTAGCCCAAGTGGTGGTGGGTGGTGATGACTAGCTGCCTTCCCTCTAGTCTTTCACTGCTAAATAAGGGAAGGGCAGTGCAGATAGCCCTCGTGTAACTTTGCGTGAAATTCAAAACAAACAAACACAAAGTATACAACGAACACCGAATTCTGGCGTTGTGAGCCCTCAAGTTTGCCGTTGAGTTACAGTTGGACACCCTACAAATACATATTCAAGTATACAAACACAGGTATAGACCGTCCTTAAAATGTGCAGTCCAAATCCGAGTCAAGAATATTTATTTGCAATCCAAAAGATTTAAAGTTTTCACTTAGATTTAAAGACTACATTTGGAATAATCAGATAATAAATTGATACGATAGATGAACGTATCATAATATGAGGTCGGTCACCTCTAATGTCCAAAAAATTGATCGTAAGAGATTACTTAGAACATCTAAAATAGTGGTTCTCAAAGTGTAGTTCGAGGCTCACTGGTTGTCCGGAGGGTCCTCCACGTGGTCTGCAGGTTGGGCCAAAATGCAAGTCACATCAAAAGCAGCGCCACTCTTCCCATTAATTCTGTTTTGTTTTTTTTCGGTGGTACGCGAAAGCGGGTGGGGTAGGACCGGAAATTGGTTTAGAGGGTCTTTTGCCCCGACGAAGTGGTATCGAAGTTTGAGAATCACTGATCTAAAAATTATCTTTTCTTTTTGTTGTTAACTTTGTGTAGTTCTGTACAATGTCCTATCTGCATTATGTTTACAGTATGGAATCGAATCCCGGATTTTAGTGTTGAAAGTCAAACTTACCGTTGACCCTCTGAGGGACCCACATGTTTTTAAATGACAAAAAAGTAATAATATAATTAAAAGTTTTGGGTAATAATAGCTTTCTAGAGCATGTATACATAGCTATACTCGTAGTTGTAGGCTGAAAACAGTATCACTTAACCTTGGCGAAACTTTAAAAAAACACAAAACATATATGACTGCAAATACCATCAATCAGACACTACAAATATTATTTAACGAATGAAAGAGTAAGTCATTAGCCTTCAGGCTTTAAACATATTATCTCTCTTTGTTTAAATCCAGCTGTAAGTTACCAATCATCAGGCGCTACAATATTTGCCTCTGTTTAACTCTAACTGTAAATTATGGATCAACAGACGCTAAAATAGTATTTCCCTTTGTTTAATTCTAACTCTGTCAATTATCGATCACCAGACGTTAAAACAGTACTTCCCTTTGTTTAACTTTAAATTATCGACCACCAGACGCTAAAATATATTTTCTCTTTGTTTAACTTTAACTGTAAATTAGCGATCATCAGATGCTAAAACAGCACTTCCCTTTGTTTAACTTTAAATTATCGACCACCAGACGCTAAAATATATTTTCTCTTTGTTTAACTTTAACTGTAAATTAGCGATCATCAGATGCTAAAACAGCACTTCCCTTTGTTTAACTTTAAATTATCGACCACCAGACGCTAAAACTATTGTTTTTATCTTTGTTTAACTTTAACTGTAAATTAGCGATCATCAGATGCTAAAACAGCACTTCCCTTTGTTTAACTGTAAATTATCGACCCCCAGACGCTAAAACTATTGTTTTAATCTTTGTTTAACTTTAACTGTAAATTAGCGACCATCAAATGCTAAAACAGCACTTCCCTTTGTTTAACTGTAAATTATCGACCACCAGACGCTAAAACTATTGTTTTAATCTTTGTTTAACTCTAAGTTAAAAATCATCTGGCTATAAAAATATCTTCTTTTCCTCAAACTCAACGGCAATGTTGAGAGTTTACAACGCTAAAATTTTGGAATATTTCCCTGCAGCGGGCACAGAACAAATAGCTTACTGTATACCTTTGCACTTAACAACAAACACACTTTTTATCTAATTGTATCACCAAATAACTGTAAAAATATCGTTTTCCCGATAATCGTAACTCGTTCAGTTACAGCTAAGTTAACAATCAAAATTGTCGTCTTGTGTTCTAGAGGTGGGAGGAACACCTCCACGAAACAATGCTTTACCTTGTGGAACGGTGAAAGTAACCATCCTGCAACAGTTTAACTACACTGTTTGGCATTGACACAGGAAAAATTGAACCGCTTTTACTGTTGGGAAAGATAAGGTCTGGAGTCCAGATGCAGCGTGTATTTTCTGAGCTCAAAATATCGGTGTGACCTGGAAGGGCTCGAAGAGTTGGGTCCTTCCACATGTCCAGTAGGTACAGGTGAAGACGAAACTCCTAGAGCAAGAACATAAAATTCTGACCATTCACTACTCAACACAACACTCATCAATTTTGTTTGTTGTTTTGACTATTTTATTAAAACTTGTTTTTTATTCATTATTTTTCTAGAAGGATCACATAGATTGGTTCGTGGGTTCGAATCCCCGTCCCACCAAACATGCTCGCCCTTTCAGCCGTGGGGG